ACGCAGGCCCGGATGACACCTAAACTGACAAGGCGGGCAACGAAAATTGATCAGTATGACTTTGAACTAAAGCCAGTAAAAGGGAAATACAATGTTGTTGCCGACGCTTTGAGTCGAAGATCTGACTTTTTCGGTGCTATTGTAACATATTTAGATAGAGGCACCGATATGCAAGATAAGATTAGGAATGCATATTCTACTGATCCTAACTATGGCGCTATGATAAAACGTATTCAACAAGCGCCACAAGAGTTTCCTAGCTATCGGATAACGCAAGGACTGTTTTGAAAGAACAGATGTGCGTGATAGGCTTTGTATTCCATACGTGGAAGAGATTAAAAGTATGATCTTGGGGGAATGCCATGATACAGAAGGCCATTTTGGATGGAGGAAGACTTATGCTAACTTTCTACGTTCCTACACCTGGCCTCGAATGAAGCCCGATTGCATTGCGTATGTGCAAGGCTGTCAAGTGTGTCAACGGAACAAGAGCACCACACAGCCTCCCCTTGGTCTCCTTAAGCCTTTGCCTATTCCAACAGGTCCAGGAGACTCTGTGTCCATCGATTTTATGGACTCTCAAGGTGAAAAGTAGGAACGGAAAAACCCAGGTCATGGTAATAGTTGACAAATTTAGTAAATTTGTCGTCTTTCTGGCATTACCTTCGGAAGCTAGAACTGACTTGGTGATTTGGGAATTCTTTAACCATTGGGTAAAGGACTATGGACATCCTTTGACTATCGTTAGTGACAGAGATTCAAGGTTCACAAGTGAACAATGGCAGCAACTAATGAACGTTTATGGCTCCAAATTGACAATGACATCAGGCCGACTCCCTGAGACGACTGAGCAAATGAACAAGATTCTGCAGCAGACACTGCGTATGCACATTCGTCCTGACCAGATTGACTGGGATAAGCATTTGCCCAAAGTTGCTAGTGCCTATAACAACTCTATACACTTATCTACTTGCAGAACTCCAATGGAGTTGCATCAGGGATGGCATCCCCGCAGACCTATAGATTGTCTAAACCCGGATCAAGTACACAAACTTCCGTTGGGAACGCGAGAATTTGCGATACAATACCAAAAAGATCTAGAAAAGGCAAAAGAGAATATAATCAAAGCACAACATCAGATGATTGAACAGGCAAATAAGCACAGAAGACCTTCTCAGTTTACTGTAGGTGATCTTGTGTGGGTTAAGTCTAAAGAGTTTATCCCAGAAGAGAACATCTCTCAAAAGTTGTTACCCGCCTATAGAGGACCATGGAAAGTATTGGATGTGGTAGGAGACCTGGACGGACCACCCTACGTTATTGAGATTCCTCTACACCTACATACATACCCTGTGTTTCACGCGTCAAAGCTCTTACCGTGTGTAACTAACTAACTGTTTCCCAGTCGAAGGTCAGCAATTCCTCCAAGTATGGATGGAAAGTTTGATGTTGATAAGATCGTTGCTGAAAGTACTATTCAGACTGGACGCAGAGGCAGACCTCAACGACAATATAAAGTCAGATTTGCCTATCAAGATCCAAGTGAAGACCGCTGGTTTAGTAGACAAGAGCTAATTGAATGAGCACCGCACATTGTATCTGCTTATGAAAGAGTAAGAAGAGGAATTAATATTGTGGATAGGTAAGAACTTTCTCAGAGGACTTCGAAATTAGGTTGGCGAGAGTAAAAGGGCCTTTACGAATCAGACCCCAAATGGATGCCCCAACGGTAAGGGGCCCTGTAATGTCACATCCATAATGAAGTGAAAGGTCATTTTGAAAGGTCACAAACAGGTCCTGGACGAACAGGTATTGGACACAATTTTCCAGACTGAGTTAGGGTCATGTCTCCTCGATGAAAAGTCATATCTGTTCGTCAATAAGTCAAAGGCTACGGTCCCAGTCTAGTCATAATCCCACGAGTCAGCCTTGATTCAGACCAGGAGTCCAAAAGATAGGCCCGATGGCCCAAAGCAGTAGCAGGCCATGGGAAAAGGTACTGGGACACACACTTTGCAACAATTGGTACTGGGCAGGAGTCCGAGGTACACGCGAGGCTGAATGCAGGCCACGCCAGACCAGTCCAACACTATAAAGGACTAGCCTCCCATTCGGACAGATGGTCACTTCGCATGAGAGTGGAAGTGTCGTGCGCTAGATGTGTGTGAGCTGCGCTAGGCTGAAGAGCAGCACTATGTGGGAAGGAGGAAGAGAGTGCTGGCTAGAGGGAAGGCAGCCATAGCTGCGCCAGCACTAGCTAGTATGTTATTAGGGATAGTCAGTAGAAGATACCAGTGAGTAGTATTCAGAGTAGATCCTCGTGTGCATGCATGACGAGTGAGAGACCAGGACTATAGACATAGAGGGAGAGAGAAGAAGGCAGACGAGAGAAGGGGAAGTGTAAGCTATGGTGGCACTTACCTGTTGAGCGCTGTTGTTGACAATTGGCAGCTGGCGCTGAGGAGCGCCAGGCTTGGAACTCATATTGATCGAAATAAGACTTGTAACTCTGTTCAGCGCTATATACTTTGAACTCGCTTTGTTCTCTCTCTAAATCTGGGTTTGTTAATTGAGTTGAGCTTCCTGGTTCTCATTCATCTTCTATTGGGTTTTTGTGTGAGACTTCGCAATCTGTGAAATCAGTGTAAATGCATGTGATCTGATGCACTCCAGCAAGTGATGTTCAGTCGGGTTCCTCGCAAGAGTGCAATTTTTCCCGAACTTATCACCTGAAATCTACCCCCCCCTCAGTTCTTCTTGATGTCGCTTGACGTCCGCGTTCTCGAGCAATCTAGATAGTGTGCGTGTCTAAAGGTGTGCACACTGCCCACCCCTGTGCCCCAAGTCAATGCTGAGCTGGCCAGCCCTGCACCATGTTTACCCTCGTGTGCAGCGAGCCTTACACCAACCGATTGGCTGATCAAGAGGCAGTTCAAGGATGGCCCCCGAGGTGCTCAGGAATTATTTAACGTCACAAACAGGACGGCGATCACAGCCAATGGAAGGTACCCCGCCGCTATGTATTTATAGACGTCCGGTGCTCGTCTCCATTGTAGGGCTGGCCTGCCCCTCATGACCCATCTACAGCGCAGCAGGCAGACAAAGGACAAAGCAGCAAAGCATCCGTGATCTACTCCCGGTGGATTGGCATGGTGACTGTGACCCAGTGCTTCATCCAGGGCCCTTCAGATAGCAACGCCCTCTCCTTCCATATGCTCCACGTGAACAATGCCGACTCTCAAGGTTGAGCGCTCTCGACTCCTCACATGAGAGGACTCTCAAGACAGAACACATATCCTCACTGTAAGAAGTGTCGAAGAGGGTAGATATGGTTAAGAGCAACGTACCTCAAAATAGCTGCCCCCAACCACAGATATTCTCACCAGATGACCTGACGTCGATTGTGATGACCAATCATTGCCTCGGCACAACCAGCATTACATCGCCGTTCCACCTCAGCATCAATCGCACATCAGATAGTTCTCATCACACTGCGAAACACCCAATATCACCTACTCAGCCTTCCTGGCGATACCCCTCTCCACCTGGGTCACCTGCTTGTCTTCTCCCTCCTCACTGCACACCATCCACGGTCGCTCACCCAGCTACCCGCGGGCATGCACCGCATAAGCAGAAGACAAGCGCCAGATTAGCGCAACGTACCACAGCTCCGATACCAAAATGCAAGGGAAATGAGCGATAGTGAATTGCAGAAACCAAGCAGCATCATACACATGAAACCAGATAGTCTTGACCTCGAATGAAAAGCAGAATTACAACTTAGTCTTGACCTCGAACCAAGAGCAGAATTACAACTTGAGTTCCACCAAATAAGAGCACAGCAAAAGCTCACAAGTGACAATGTTGGAATGGTCTCATCATCATCAACAATGAACCAATGTCAATTCCCTATCTGGAGCTCAGCGCCCAGACTACGAATGGCAGATCCTATCTAGCCTATCTACAATGCTGCCGGTGACGTCAACAGCTTCCCGAAGTACGAGCAGATCTTGGCCAATGCCGTTTGCCTCAAGCACCAGGTATGTCTCACGCTTCACTCACAACCTCGATCCCCCACACAGATGCCATGTGCACCCAAGGACCACCACGCGCCTCATCCAGCATCTCGCAGTCCAGCTTGGCTATGGCTGCCTGTGTGTGCCCTGCTCGCCCGTGAGCGCATGGGCTCTTGCCTGCCGATACTCCACAAAAGCTTCCGGTAGGCCCCAAGTGGCCGAGCCCCTGTCCCAGGGAATCTTCCACAGGGCCTGGGGTGGTTACCCGTGTCCAACTGCCTGCGGCCTGTGTTCAGTCAATGCCCCGTGTCTGGCCCAGGGGGGTGCCTCAGGTACATTTGGGAAAAGGCAGGCAGGGCCTGGGCTCACTCAACCAACTGGCGCTGCGCAACTGCCTGAATTTCCCAGCTGCGTCAAATTCCAAAACAGGCCTCTCGTCACTGAACAGGCCCGCCTTCACTTAGGGCGGCCGTTTTTGTTGAAAGCAGGGCCCAGTAGGGCTTACCGAGGCCTTGGGCCTCGCAAATGTTCCATCGGTGCTGCTTCTGTGTCACCTCCTAAGTGCAATCCTGTTATCAACCCGTCAGTTGTCTTTGACAGGATTGGAGATTATGTTTCACACCAACCTTGATGCCAAGCTCTTTCCCTTTTCTTTCCCCCATTCGTCCTCTTTTGTCAAATTTTTACCATGTCTCAGATTTTGCTTCTCATCCTTGTGCGGGGGCCATGCTAATGTGTTGTTTTAATTTTAACGGATGTCCTGATGGATGATGCCAAGCTCTTTCTGGGTCTGAGGAATACTTGTAGTTTGTGGGACCCGTTGTTCATGTGAATAGTATATGTCAGAGGAACCACTGTTTTCCTTAAATGATTGCTTTGTTGCTTGCAGCCTCCAGGTCCAATCAGAAACTTTCAAACTGAGAGCTGTAGCCTGGCAGTGTGCTAACACACAGACGTGGTATGTCTCTCCATGGATGGGTGCAGATTGTGGATATCTATTTGAATTTGGAAAGGTCAGACCTGACTGACAAATTTGCTGTGGCAGTCTCAAGCGATGGCAGGTCGTACAGGCCGGAGGTGAGACTCTGTGCCCTTCCCGTTGCATCACCAAATCTGATGAACTCGCAGTAAGCAGAATGTCCAGAGCGCAGAATTGATTGCACAGGCTCTCTCTTCTGTGTCAGAGACCGTACGGTACTAATTAACACCATTGTAGCCTCCTTTAAACCACCAGCCCCCCCCGACGTCGTAAAGTCTGGGGGACCGGTAGGCCGATATTAGCAATTCACCTTCGCCCTACCGGCAGTACAGGGTGGGCCTCGCTTCGTTCTTGTTTTTTGTTTTTTTATTCCACTCTGCAAAAAGAAAATGAAAACGAAACTGCAGGTACCACCGCATTTCGTGCCTCACTTCACTGCCCCTGACACGCATGGAAAACGGAAATGATTGCGGTGTATATTTCCATGTTGTGCTGCAAGGTTCGCCGCGTGGCTTTTTTTTTTCTTTTCCCCACAAAAAGAACAAAAGAAAAACAAAAGTGCAGCGCCTCTTTCTAACAAGCGCCTGAAATGGAAACCGTGCGCCGACTTTTTCTCAATTTCAAATGCCTTTTTTTTTTTTTTTTTTTTTTTTGTTTGTGGTCGCCGACCCCGCGCCGTTCACGGCCCTAACTCCCCGGAAGCAGTTCGTTGGTTAGTGACACAATCAACTCACTTCTTTGTGAAACTGAAGGATGATTAATGATCAGCAATGAAACTTCTTCAGCAGCAAAGAACCTGAAATCTTAAAAACTTCTTCAGCAGCAAGCGAACCTCCTATCTCAAAGGTAGGGCACTTCTTCCGCAACAAGAATGTGGAATCTTAAAGGACGCAGTCATAGCTGGTTTGAACCACGTGTTGATCCGCTTTTTCAGATGTGACTGTCGTCTTTGTTGTGAGTTGGAAGTAGGATGTATCCAGCTGAGAATATCCATAAATCTAACGAGTTATTATTACATATTGTTGTTTATGAAAGGTTAGTTATATATGCAATCAGACTCGTTTTCAAACACACTTTTCATGCATGTAAACAGCAACGCAGCATACTGGCGACATGCGCCCACTCAAAACTCAGAGATATGGCTTTCAGATACGAGTTCACTCTCAAT